AAGAATGCAGAAAGCATAGACTGGGCTGGCCACGGTGACACCCTCCCCCACTGCCACCTGCCACCAATTCTGTATCGTTGGGTAGATCCTCCTCCTGTTTAAAAGCCAGGCAGGTGGCCAATACCAAGTGTTGAGCCTCCAGTCACCGTGTATCCTCCTTCTCTGCCAGCACATGGCAGTTAGGTAGTCCAGGCTATCCCAGACTGGCAGATGCTGTCACGCTCCTACCTGCCCACAGGTCTTCAGGTTGACCCGAAGCAAGGTGGATGATGACAAGGCACGCATCCTAATCCGGAGCCTGCTGGACCACCCAGCCCTCGAGGAGCTGGACTTGTCCCACAACCTCATTGGAGACCGCGGCGCGCGAGCAGCGGCCAAGTTGCTGAGCCACAGTCGCCTGCGAGTGCTCAACCTCGCCAATAACCAAGTGCGGGCGCCTGGTGCTCAGTCGCTGGCTCACGCCCTGGCACACAACACCAACCTTGTCTCCCTCAACCTCCACCTCAACTGCATCGAGGACGAGGGTGGCCAAGCAATTGCCCATGCCCTGGAGACCAACAAGTGCCTCACCACGCTGCACCTCGGAGGCAATGAGCTGTCTGAGCCCACAGCCACACTCCTGTCCCAGGTGCTCACCGTCAACACCACGCTCATCAGCCTCAACCTCTCCTGCAACCACATCGGGCTGGTGAGTCATGGCTTCTGGTGCAGGCGAGCACGGGGTGGGATCCAGTTACCGTAGACCCTTGCAGGAAAGCGTTAGACTGTGCGGTGGACTGCATAGAGACTGTGTTCTCGCCTGTCATCTGCACTCCAGCGTCCATTTCCTCCTTTCATTTTCATGTGTCTGCAGTATACATGCATGCATACCTTGTTTTTGCATGTATGAGCCTCTGCTCATGTGTGCATGCATGTGGACATGCAAAGTTGAGGTCAAGGATCATCCTCAATTGCTCTTCCGCCTTATTCACCGAGGCAGGGTCTCTCGAGCAAACCCAGAGCTCTCTGAAATGACTGGTTTTGCTTGCTAGCTTGCTCTTAAGGTCCCCTGAATCCCCCTGGAATTACAAGTGGGCTGCTATGCCCACTCAGCATTTCTATGGGTTCTGGAGACCCTAATTCCAGTTCTCACGCTGGCCCACGAGTGTTTTCCCCACTGAGACAACCTCCCAAACCCATGTCCCAAACAGATGGGCTACATGTGGCTTTGCAAAAGGTAACCCATCTTTGTGTGTGTGTGTGTGTGTGTGTGTGTGTGCACGTGATCCTGGGATGTAATAAAAAATGATCCCGGGCCGTAATAAAAAATGATCCCTCTGCCTCTCTCCTCCCCAGGATGGTGGGAAACAGCTCCTGGAAGGCATGTCAGACAACAAGACCATCCTGGAGTTTGACTTGCGTCTGTCAGATGTATCCCAGGAGAGCGAGTACCTCATTGGCCAGGTTCTGCATGCCAACCGAGAGGCCACCCGCCAGCGGAGCCTGAGTCCTGGCTACTTCATGGCATCCATCACTAACAACAGTACTGAGAATTCCGTAGGCTAAGATGGGGGGACAGGGCTTGAACAGTGATCTGATGGGTCCCTGTAACAGCCATCCCTTCATCTCACACCCTTGCTATGCCTGTCCCTGGGTCTGGGGAGAAGAGGGGATCGCGAATCTCCTTAAGTTTGTATGCATGAAGATGCTGAGGTAGGGAAGGGAGCCTAAGGATAAAGAGAGGGTAAGCTAACTCCTGCACCCGGAAGAGGCCATTACTAGACCTGCATAAATGATCAGCTTCCAGGAACAGGGAAGGCAAAGGATTCTAAAGAGAGTCTCCCTGCCCAAATTCTTCATGAACGCCATCTACCCCAACTCGGCCCACCCCTTCCCTTTCTGCTAAGCAGACCCTAGAGCTCTGATCTCAGTCTACACACACACACACACAGAGAGAGAGAGAGAGAGAGAGAGAGAGAGAGAGAGAGAGAGAGAGAGAGCCTGTCTCTCTCTGCTCTCCTACCCTGCCTGAAGATGCCACCTGCCTGTCACCATCCTGGTGTGCCCCACTTCTACACCTTGCATCATCGGTAATTCTCAAGCTGGGAAGGGGTAACAAGTGAGAGGGGCTTAGACAGAGACCTTCTACCAAGGACAGGGAATAAGCATCACTCCGAGGAGGGGATCAGTGAGTCATCCACACTTTTATTATCCACCAGTGTGATTTGTACAATCTTTGCGCTTGGAATTCCATGACAAAAAGGCCACAGTGTGATGCACCCAATTTGACAGAACTCTTCTGTCTTCTCCCGAGCCAGGCCCAGCCCACCCCACAAGCCCTTATCCTCAGGACATACAGTCTTCCAGGTACCCTCCACGAGTCCCTGTCTCGCTGGGACTGCCCACCCTGGGGCTACCCCCGTAGGAACCACACCAGCCTATGGATCCGTGAGAGGATCTGATCGACCCATTCAGGCCAAGGCCCTTATATCACAACTTTCCTCGAGCTGAGTGGCCCAGAGCCCACCTCACCAAAAGATGGCTGACTGAACTGCAGCTACAATCCAGGAGGGCCAGCACTCCAGGGACTCTTTGCAACAAGCAGACACAGAACAGAGCACCAGAGGGGACTTGGGAGTGACCATGTGTGTGCCTGTCCGGGCAACCCAGAGCCATCTGTGCCTGACACCCTCTTGACAGTTCCAGAGTGCAAACATGTAGGTGTGAGGGTGTGTGTGTGTCTGTGTGTGTGTAGCCACAGCTGCTAGCAGAGGTTCTAATTAGAGAAACAAGAACATTCAGTGTAAAGTTTAATTTTAGAGATTAATTAATTTTCTGGTTTTCATTTTTCCTGGCAATCAATAAAGCTACCAAGAAAAGAGACCAAAGAATTGCTTTCTCTCTAAGTCTGTGCGTGTGTGGGAGGTGAGGCTGTCTGTATGAAAAGACCTAGGCAGAAATGGTCAGGCAGAAATAATAACAGGGCTTCCCCTCCTCCTCTCCCAAGGCCAAGCTCTGTCTCTGGACCCAGCGTGACAGAGACTGAGCCAAGTCCTTCCCTCCCTGGAGCTGTGAGGTACCCAGGCTGACCCTAAATGAGAACAAGACATTCAGGTGCCAGCTGGCCAAGAACTGGGGCCCAAGGCCACAGCTCCCCCACCACCTGTGCTTCAGCAGATGCCTTGCTCAAGCGAAAGCGGGGTGCTCCAACAGCCAAGCTACCCCCACACAGGGACAAACTCAGACTCGGGGTCCTAGAGGGTTCAGTGTTGGTAGGCCAGTGGACATTGCTGTCCAGGAATCCTGGTGGGCAGCTACGCTGATTCTGTCTGCCCAGACCTCTCCTTCTCTGCCACCCCTCCCTCCTCACCCAACCATCTCTGTATGGCTAGAAAGTACAACCCCCATCTGAACCATAGATCACGGCATCCCCACAACTTGGGTTTCCCACATCCCCCTGTGAAGAAGGGACAGGGAGCCAGAAGAGATGTTGCATAGGTAGGGGCCACTCCCATTGGTTGGCGTAGGCCTGGCATGGCCAGGAGGAAGAGGGGAGGCCAAGAAGATGGAGTTATGGTGATGGCAAAGCACGAAGCAGAGGGAGCAAGACTGGATGGATGTGAGCCCAATCCCTGGGTGCTACGTCTGCTTGGAAAACTTCAGCCAGGGCAGCTGGGAGAGCAAGGGGCCAAACACAGACATGCACGATGAAGTACAGTGGGGTGGAGGGGTTAAGGGAGCAGAGGGCGTGGGAGAGCAAAGTTGGTGTCAAAGCTTTGAAGGGACAGGACAGGGGCTGGTGCCCTGGGGCTGTGGCATGATGCCCTTCTGAAGACCTAGGACTTCAGCTCACAGGATAAGAGGAAGTGGAGGGTCTGGCAAGAACTGATCTCCTGCCTCTGGGATTGAGTGCCTCTCCAGCTAGGGTTTGTGCTGGACTTAGCTGCACCCAGGCGTGTGTGAGGGACATACTACTTCTTAAGCATCTTCAAGAGGAAACGCTACACCACCGCCACCCCTTCAGAGCTGGTCTCCTCCATCCACCATTACCAGCTCTGCTCTTTCTCCCACCTGCCTCCTGAGTTCTCCTGACACCAAAGTGTGTCTCAAGCTCCAGTCCACTTGGTCACTCACTCTGGCCAACTTTAATGGACCCTTTCTTAATGGAAGCACCTACTGAGAACCCAGGGGAGGAAGCTTCTGATTGATGGGAGGCTGGGTCTTTTCCAGAAAGGGCCGGGATGTGCCTTCCCCAGCTTCACTTCCCTCCCCCTGCACCCTAACAACAGCTCTTCAGAGCCAGTAAGCCCCCCCGAGGTGAATGACGTCATTGGTGCGTGAAAAGTCCCTCCAGGACTGGACCTCTGGGGCGCAGTGAAATAAACAACCGGAGTGGGAGCGGCAGAAAGGAACCACCGAGCCTCACCCACCCGGCGCCAAGAGGTCAAAACTTTTTCAAGGTGTTGAGAGGAATACTGGGCTGCCAGCTGGCCTCATTCAGTAGGTGGTTGGAAACCGGCCCTGCCGCTCTTCACCAAATCACTGCCCCGCCCCCAAGGGCTGGGGGGGGGCGACGCAAAAATAAAAATTAAAAAGCCCCAAATGCCTTTTCTGAGGCCTGCCATGATGGTTCCGTTGGTGGGGAGGCCAAAAAAACGGGTTCCACATCATAGTTGCCTGGTAACAGTCAAGACTCGATGAAAGCCTGGGGGTGGGAGGGACCTCGCGTGCGTGTGGAAAAGTAAATGTCCCCGTAGGAACTCGGTGGGGACTGAAAAAGAGCCACCTCTGCCCCGGTGAGTGGGATTCTCAGAGAGCTGCCAATCTCTCCATCCTCTGTCCGTGTACAGGGAAGCAGTCTCAGGCCCACTGGAGTCTTGTCTGGGCGTGCCCCTCACCTCCCGCCTTCACGCGTACCCTGCCTGGCCTCTGTCACCATCCTGCCTTCCCCTGCTACGCACAGGGAGCACAACACATCAAGGGGCAGGAGGAAGAATGAATGGCGCAGGCTTCCTCCAAGAGCGGGAAGTCACAGTGAGGTCTCCACGCAGGAGCCATGGCGGTGCAGTGGTCGGTGACTGTGGCCCAGACACCCCTCCTGACGATGGACGATAAGGACCGGGAAGTAGAGGGCGTCGTGGTAGGGCGGCGGTGGCCCGGCCTCCTCCTCGTCGTCCTCGTCCTCGTCGTCCCGCATACTGGCCTGGCTCGACAGCCGCGTCTGCTCCGTGGGGCAGCTCGCCTCGTTGACACTCCCGCTCCGGCTGCGCCACAGGCAGCTGCGCCGGGAGCCGTAGAGGCGACCGAGCGAGAAGCGGCTGCCCCCGCACCCAGCACTGGCTCCAGGCCCCTGGCCGGCCCGCGGGCTGGCGCAGATACTCAGCGCACTGCGCGAGAAGATGGACGAGCTGCTGACCGCTCGCTGACAGTGCTCGCAGCTTCGCCGGTACGGGGCCACGCCCGCCGCGCCCGGGCCACCCACTCCGCCGTAGCGACACGTGGGCGCGTAGCCACCGCCCCCTGCCCCGCCGCAGCGCGCGCCCAGCCCGGCCAGGTCCATGAGCACCGCTTCCGAGTAGCTGGGTACCAGCTGCTGGTTGGAACGGATGTGCCACTCGAGCTCGGTGCTGTCCACCGTGTTGACCCGCGGCAGGCGATGAGTGAGCGGCGGTAGCAGCTCGTCGCTGGGACTCAGGCTACCGCCCGCGCTGCTGGCCGAGCCTGGCCCCTCCAGGCCGAAGAGCTTCTCCACGTGGTAGTGCGCGTACGCCGTGCGGTACTCGGCCAGCACGCGCAGCGGCCACGATAGCGTGAGCAGCGCCGCTGCCCAGAAGGCCGATGAGCAGGCATACCAGGGTGGCCGGGTCGGGTCGGGAAAGGCCACCATGAACTCGCGGAAGTCCACGTTCTTAAGATGCATGCCCTCTCGCGCCTCCATGTAGTCGTCCAAGCCCTCGTTCTCTGCGAAGAAGCGCGCGCGCTGGCATAGGTATGCGTTCTCCGCCTCCACGCTGGCGAAGCTGAAGCACTTGGTGAAGCGCAGCCGCGTGGCCGGAGCGCCCTCCAGCCCCACCAGCGCCTTGGACACGTCCCGGACGCCACAGCGCGCATAGTCGAACTCGGCCTCCGCCACGTGTGTGTTGACACGCTCGTGGTAGACCTGCAGCGCGCAGGAGGAGGCTGGAGTCATAAGGGGAACATACCGCGGCTTGTCTACCCATCCCTATACCGAGATGGAAGTCACTATACCTGGGATCATCTCCATCATCATCTCCTCCCCCTCCCTCTCGCAATCCAAAGGGAGTTAATGCGATAAGTGGTGGTTGCCCTGAAAACCCTGTACCACGCACACCCACCTCCTCTAAGAGTCTTGGGCTGAGATCCAGAGGCCTGGGTTTAAGCCTAGCACTGCCAAGTAGAAGCAACCCCAGGCCAGTCTGAGCTGAGGTCTCCTTAGCTGTGTGAATAAATAGTCAGGAATAATTACTCCACTGGACAGGTAAACGTATACCTGTGAAGCCATCTGCAGCCAGGACGCTCTGAGCAGACTCCACCGTGGAGCCAGCTAACTTGAGTTTAAGGCCCTCTCCTCACTATTTGACCCTGGACAGGTTTGGTTTTTTTTACTGCACACCCATTTGCTCCTTTGTAAAATGGGACATACCTACTTCATAGGTTTGCTGTAAGAAATAAATCGCTTTTAAGTGCCTAGAGCTTGGCTCTGTTGGTGTCTGCTGTTATTACTGAGTGCCCATGGGAGCTCGCTGCTGCCTCATGCTCCCTCACAAGCGGGGAGAATGGCAGGCAATCCAAGCAACCTCTCTCATCTTGAATGGCCTGCACTCACCTCCAGCCTCTCACCTGGGTGGTAGTGTAGGCATCCCCATTGCGGTATCGGGTGACCTGCCGGGTTCGTCGCACATAGTGATAGCTGATGGCCTTCCACCAGATGCAGGGGGTGGCCTGCTGCATACGGCCGACACGCTCCCGAACACTGCTCACATCCACTCGGTGCTGCAGCTCGTGGCGGGCTTGGCAGTGCCAACACTCCACCAGGTAGACCGCGTACAACATGAGCAGGAAAGCCAAGGGGATGTAGACATAGCCGTTGGAGCAGGGGCTGTCATGGTACATGAGGCTATTGCCCTGGTAGGCGCTGCTGAAGGTGAGGCGGGTCACTGTGGTGACGTGGCACCAAGCCACTGCCCCCAGGCAGCCGTACATGAGCAACGAGAGCAGGAGGCACTTCCAATGGGACTCGCGGCAGAGAGATTTGGTGAAAGAGGGCTGGATGGGTCGTTGCTGCTTGGATGGGCAGGGAGGGGTGCCAAGAAGAGGACGAAGTGAGACAGAATGGCAGGACCCAGCACAGAGATTGAGAGACAGAGGCCGGCACAAGGGTTACAGACAGGAATGTAACAGGAAGAGAAAGATGGAAACCAGTGACCAGAGATAAACACAGAAGTGACCCAGACAGAGCCATGAGGACAGAAAAAGTGACCAGAACGCCAATATAGGAAAGTGCAAAGAGAGATACCCCAAGAGGTGGAAGTGGGGGCCCAGGAAGCAAAAATGACACCGATGGATAGGATGGAATCCAGAAAGGCCAAGACAGACACAAGATGGCAATGAAGGAAGAGGAGGTGTGGATGGGGAAGAAGGAATAGACAAACAGGCATTAGCGAAGGCAGGTCCCTGGCCCAGACCTCTTCTAGGTGTCCCAGGAGAGTAGGGAAGGACCCACTGACACCATCTCCCCACTTAACAGGGCCCCGACTTCTTGTAGGTAGTTCAGTCCTGGGTTCTAGAGAAGCGCGCCCCTTTGTCTCACTCGCCTCTCCTTTGCCCCCACAGAGGAGATCTAACACTTCCCTTGGAGAAGGGCCTTAGCCCAGGCCAATCTCACTTCTGATGATCCGCGCGCGATCGCGCGCGCACGCACGCGCCTACTGCTCACACCTGCCTCCCAACAAACACGCATTCTTCCCCTCTATTCTAGGACCGGAAAGAAGGGCTGGGGCCCCTTCACACAAGACAGTCCAAAAGGGCAGAGGCCTGTGGCTAAGGAGAGGAGGGGATCGGGGTGAGGAAGATGTTGGGAGCCCAGCCATTTGTCACTAATTTCTGATGCTCTCCTAGGTCTGTCTGTTAAAAGCATTTGGCACGTTCTGAGTTGTTTACGTGTCTACTTCTCTCCCAGATGGAGTGCTCCTGAGGGCAGGGCCCATGTCTCGTTCTCTTTGCTTCCTAAGTGACACCCATGGGGCACATAATCAATGAAGGCTCTTCATATTTGAGTCTGATTGCTCAAATAGCTTGTCTTCCCACCCCTTCTACATTGTTGCACACCCATGCACATGTGTGTGCACACACATACACACACAAAACTGTCTGCTGCAGTGGTGACTGGCCCCTTCAGCTCCTCACGCCCGGCCTTGAGGCCAGCCAGAGAGAGAGAGAAAGCAGTGGAAACGAAGTGTACAGTTAGACAGCAGGCCCTAGATATCTGTGGATAGGTAGGAGGGACAGCATGTGTCTGCAAGGAAGGGAGTGTACCCTTGCCTTTCAGGATCTGTGTCCTTGGAAGCTGGGTACCTGCGTGTACCTGTATGCCCACTTGGCTATGTGCTGTCCCAGTGTGAGTACAACTGAAAAGGGCTACCCGAAAGTCTGTTCCCACTGTCCTCCTGCCCCTGTTCAAAGGGCACGGTGTGCACAAGAGTGCATTGGAGGATGGGGCGGAGGGCTTACAGAATTTCCCTTAGTTTCTTTGTCTCCAGTTCTCAAAAGACTAAAGTAAGACCCTAATTAGGTACATGTTTAGTACTGACTCAAAAATTCTTAAGCTTAGTGCCCCCTAGGGGGAGCAGCCAGCATCGAGAGGTGAATAGCCCCCTTACACTCTCACGCTCCCAGTGACCCCAGGGGGTACGGCCTCTGTACAGGTCTGACTTCCCTGTGGTCCCAGCTCGGACGACATCATTGCTTCCCCAAGGCACCCTTCTTGGCTCCTAGCCCCTCCAGTCCTCCTTCCGGGCCTTCAAGGTGGGATGCCGCCCACCATCCTCATCCAGGAGCCGACATAGCCCCTCTCCGCTAAGCCCGGGGTCTGCGAGGCTCCGCCCCGGGCCCCTCCCCCTGCCCAGGACCCCCGAGCCCCGCCCCCGGCGCGGCCCCTTCCTCGCCTCGGCGGACAGAGTGGGCCGCCAGGTCGGGGCAGCGGCGCGGACTGCGGCTGCAGCGGCCGGCTCGGGGTGCGGGGCGCCGGCCGCTCTGCGGCGGAACCGGCGGGGACCGTGTGAGGCGCGGGGGATGGGGGGCCGGGTCGCGGCCGTGCGAGGGTACCGAGGGCCGCCGGCTCTCACCTCCTCTCGGGCGGGGCCCTCGTCCGCCGCTGCCATGGGCTCCTCTGGGACCCCGGAGCCGCCACCGCCGCCGCCGCCGCCGGCGCTCTCTCCCGCGGCCGAGCCAGGGGGGGACATGGCGTAGAGGGGGCGCGTCGAGCTCAGGACCTCCCGGGGGGCTGCCAGGGGCCGGGGGCATCCTGCGCTGGGCCTGAGGAGGGGGCGCGAGGGGCGGGGCCCTCTCTGCTCCCCACCCCCCGCCGGGGGGAGGGGGCCTAGAAAGGGCACGAAGGGGGGGGCGGAGATAGGGGGATGGGTGGGAGGGCGGGCTGGAGGGGCCGGGCTGGGGGGGCCGGGGCCGGGGGCGGGTGTCACCTTGAGGCCCTCGCGGCGCCGCTCCGCCTCCCGCCCGCTCCCGCCGCCGCCTTTTGTCTGAGCCGAGCTGGAGCCAGCGCGCCCCCCCTCTTCCTCCCAGTGCAGCAGAGCCCCGCCTCCGGCCCCCCAAACTCCGCCTTCACCAAGCCTTCCTAATAACCACCACCACACCGCCAAAGGGGTGAAGCAACAGGGGCTCTCCACACCCTTTCTCTCAACCCTGCTCACCGCATCTTCCTCTTGTCTGCCCATTCTGGGAAGATCGCAGCCTCAACCCCTCTCCAGCTGCCCTCACTAAAAGGGCCCTGGGAAGTCAACCAGCGTCCCTCTTCCATCCTCAAGTCCTTGAGGCTTGAAGACTGGGGACTGGAAAATGAGTCTGGGCATCCTAGGGAAGACCGTTGCTCCTAATTGCGTGGTAAGGAGTTAAGTCAGGAGACAGACTCCAGAGGGACGGAATAGCGTGAAAGAGAAGACACTGACGCTAGATCCCAGAAAGGACTCCTTGGAGGGCAGAGATCCGAGACGCTAAGCCCCTCACAAGAGAGCCCCAGAAAAGCAATGAAGTGTATCCAGTGCCCTAAGCTAGGGGTCAAGGACATTTACGTTCTAACTGGCTCTGTCACAATAGGTGTGCGACCTTAGACAAGTACCTTCTCCCTCTAAGTCCTCGTTTCCTCCTCACTAGGCTGCCAGGGTAGGGAGACAAAGTCACAGACCACAGGGAAGCTGAGTAGCTGCAGGCAGCCAAGCCCTTTGTGCCGTCCACCCACTGCTGTTCCCGGCATTGCCTAGGACACACAAGAGACTGGTATTTTTTCGGGCATGCATTCCTAGGTACATCCACAGATAAGCAAGTACTCGACACCTACTGTATGTCATGTATAGAAATAAAAGAGCATTTCCCATCCTCAAGAAGCACAGCCTAACTGAGAAGACATGCATCCAATCTTTATATAGAGTGTGGTGAGAGTGGTCAGTCTGTGGGGGGGGGGGGTCACTGTATTACCAGGGTCTTTGACATGCAAAAACTGTTCTTTCTTACCCGTAGGGAACCAAGGCCAATGGAGAGCAGGTGAGTGCTTATGGGGTCCCCCACCAGCACCTACAGAATTACTCCTAGAATTTAGAGCTTTTTCTGGGAAAAAAAAAGTTCATGAAGGGAGGTGACACACATCTGAGGCAGAGGGATCAATACTTTGAAACCACTCTGTACTACATACCAAAACACTGTCAAAAAGGGGGTAGGTTGGTCAGGCGGTTGTGGCGCACGTCTTTAATCCCAGCAGAGGTAGGCAGATTTCTGTGAGTTCAAGGGCAGCCTGGTCTATGAAACAAGTGCCAGAGCAGTCAGGACTATTACATAGAGAAAACACTAAAAACGGGGGAGGGGGGGAGTAGGTAGTAAGTTGGGGCTGTGGTCCAGTAGCAGAACACTGTGTCAAGCCCTAGCTTCAATCGCAATACCGGGAGTCCCTTTGGAGCAGGAAGTGGCCTTAAGACAGTTTTGTTATTGGGGACAGGAAGTAAGCATCCTCGGGTACCCTGGTGCCCTCTTGCCTCTTCTGGATCAGGAGAACCACTCCCTCCATCCCTACTCCTGCTTCTGCCTCCATCTTCCAAGTGAGGACCGGAGGCTTTCTGGCCGCCTACTGTCCTGAAGTGTCAGCCAGAATGACCCTCTTCAGTTCAAAAGTCCATTCTCCCTCAAAAGGATGTGGTCTCTGAAAGGGAGAGCTCCCATCCACACCACAATGCAAGAGGAATTTGTCTTGGTGGCTCATTCCAGTGGTCCCCACCCTTGCTCTTGGGGAAGCCTGCCTCACAGCCAGCTCCAGCCCCTCGCTCTGGTGTCAGCCCCTCATCTCACCGTGTTCATTCCTCCTGCACATAACCCATGTGGACTCACCACACTCTCAGTTCAGTGATGCTCTTCCTCCTGATGCCATCCACTGTCTCCCTGCCTCAGGGGACGTTGAAACTTCCTTGGGCAACTCCAGAACTTCCAAGAGACCACCCCCATCTTCTCTGGTCATAGCCAATATCCTTCCCTGGAAACTCCAGGAAACAGGGGTTGAAAGGAGGAGCTAGTGGAAGAAGCTGACCGTCTGGTCACCATGGAAACTGGACCTGTTTCTCTGAAGATAAGCCTAGCTCAGTGGCTGGAGGTGGGAAGTAGAAGCATCCAAAGGGACCCAGAAGACATCAAAAGGAGGGGCTGCGTGGCCAGACCTGGGAGAGAACTGTTGCTAAGAAAAGTGAGGGCCTGACCACACTGCAGCCAGAGTCAAAGGCCAAAGGCCCTCCTTTTCGAGAACACCGCCACTGGGGTCCTCTCCATTGTGGGAGTGACAGAAAGGTTCTCTCAGAGTACAGTTGCTTAGGCTGGGGCTGTGGCTGTGGGTGGCTCAATGCTGCCCTCTTGTGGTCAATAAGGGAGTTGCCACACAACTGTTAGGGTTCAGGACTACACAGACACCTGGTTGGTGGAAACAGCGTCATCTTCAAATTTGGCTTCTTTGTTAATTAGAAAGGGGGTCCCTGCACGTTCCTGAGTCTGTGCCCTTGCAGAGTGCACATGTTCCACCATCAGTGAGATTTAGATCGTGAAAAGAATTCCATTGAAGAAAATATATAAAACATAGGATTAGGTCAGAAGAAGCCAGTTCTGTATTTTTTTTCTGACTATGGATTCTTGGGCAAGTTAGCTGACCTCTCTGGGCCTCAGGCAGTTTCTTTAACCTGTGGCGTGCACATTTGCTTAAATTTTGAGAATGGAAGAGGAGGTTGAAAACTTCTGACCCTAATGGAGTGTCTGTTGTTGTTTTGATTGTTGGGGTATTTGTTGTGGGGTACCATGCCAAGGATCAAACCCAAGGCATTGCATTTACCAGAGAAGCATTCTACCCTTTGATCTACATTCTTATTAGATGCCTCGGTTCCTTGACTATCCTGACAGGATCCCACCTGCCTTCTGCTCAGCGCGTCCTCTGGCTAGTCCTCTAGGAGAGCGTTGGGTGAGAAGAGGCTGCTTCTCTTCTCAGCTCTTTCCCTCCCCATCTCCAGTTCAAACTGAACCGATTTCGTCCCTCTTGCCTCTCAGGAGGTAGCTGGCCCTGCTGTGTGACAAACATTCCAAGTGGCAACTGCCAGAAACTTTAAAAGATTTATGTTATTGTGCCTGCATGTGTGCATGTGCACCGTGTTCACGCCAAGTGCCGATGCAGGTCAGACGAGGGCATCAGATCAGACATCAGATTGCAGGTGGTTGTGAGCCCCCTTGTGGGTGCTGGGAACTGAACCTGGGTCCTTCGTAAGAGCAGCAAGTGTTCTTGACTGCTGGAGCATCTCTCCAGACCCGGCCAAACACTTTTAGAAGACTGGATTGTTTTTTCTTATGGTGATGGCATTGGTGATAGTGGAAATGCTAGTGACTGTTGCTTATTACTGTTACTGTGGTTATTGATTTGTCTCTCGGATCAGAGGATATCAGATATATCAATATACTTCATATATGTTTGCAAATGAGTGAATGGTTGGATGACTGGCACAAGGTTCCTAGGGAAAGAGCAGTAGAGAATGGCTTAGTAGTTATCTACCCCAGCTTCCGTTTTCCAGTGCCAGGATTGCAATGTAGCTGTTCCCTGAGTGGGTAAGGACCTTCGAGGGTATTGCTAGCCCAAAGGAAGAGCAGCGTGAAGCTCCAGCTCAGGCTCACGTGTGGGTGGTGTTCTCAACCCCGCCATGTCAGGGAGAGAAAGATGTTTCATGGCTGGGGCTGGGGTGGAGACCTCCATAGTGTCAGGGGCCTCCCCATCCTGGTTGCACTGTGAGGAACTAGACTTCTCTGACTCTGATTACTAGGGGTAGCCAGATACTGTACCCACCAAAGGCCAATGCATCACCCTGTGAGGAAGGAGAAACCACATGACCACCATGACTTGTTAGACAAAAGTCTGCCCCAGAAAACCCACTTCTCCAAATCACATCCTCCTGCCAAATCTGGGGAGCTGGCACAGGAGACTGTCCATAAAGATTCCCCAAGAAAAAGCTGCTTCCCTGAAGATAATGAAGTGTACCCCCTCCCTACCCATAACTCTGGGCACTGATAGGAAAAGATAAAAAGACAAGAGAAATTGAGAAAAATAGGCAAAAGGGGGGGGGGACTGGAGAGATGCCTCAGCAGTTAAGAGCATTGGCTGCTCTTCCAGAGGACCAGGGTTTGATTCCCAGCACCCTCATGGCAGCTCACAACTGTCTGTGACTCCAGTTCCACAAGATCCAACACCCTCACACAGACATATATGAAGGCAAAAACACCAATGTGTATAAAATAAAAAAGGAAGAAGTTAGTGGAGCACCAGCATCCTTCCTTGTCGAAAAAAAGAAAAAGAAAAGAAAAATAGGCAAAGGGAAAGCCTTCCCGCCTGTGCTGCCTGGTCTTATGTCAGCTTGACAGGAGCTAGTCATCTGAAAGGAGGGAACCTCAATTAAAACACTCCATAAGATCCAACTGTGGGATAATGGGGGGGGGGGGTTGGAGACAGGGTTTCACTGTAGCTTTGGAGCCTGTCCTGGAACTAGCTCTTGAAGACCAGGCTGGCCTTGAACTCACAGAGATCTGCCTGCCTCTGCCTCCCCTGGGATTAAAGGTGTGCCCCACCACCGCCTGGTAGGACATTTTCTTAACTAGTGACTGATGGGGAGGGCCCAGCCCATTGTGGGTGGAGCCATCCCTGGGCTGCTGCTCCTGGATTCTATAAGAAGCAGGCTGAGCAAGCCATGAGGAGTAAACCTGTAAGCAGCACCCCTCCATGTCCTCTTCATCAGCTCCTGCCTCCAGGTTACTCTATTTGAGT